ACTTAGCTCTCTAGTTTATGGCCAATAAATCATGTTAGCTTGACCAGTGAGATAACCACAAGTCAATACAAAAGATTCAGATTTATACAATGTTACACATGAGAAAATAAAACTACCTCTCAGTTATTTATGGGAGCTTATTAACAAGTGAATTTCCAACTTATATAACAGCACAAATACAACACCATGTCTCAATATGCGGGTTCTAAATACACCCAGTCTGTCTACCAACAAAGGGTGATATCAACTAGTCTATAATTAAGGTCTGTAAGGGGCTTACAAGCACGTAGACTTTGAGAACCCCTCTGTAAATTTGGAATTTCTATAGTATTTTGAAGAGAATATTGGATCTCCTTACTAAATCTGCTAGTTCCTAGGTTTCCAGATCAATGACCAGAAAGATCATACCATACTCCCATGTTCATGGGAGAAAGCTATGGAAGCAGAGATTAGAAAGGACCTTAGCAACTACTTGCATTAAATTTTCTCATTCTGCAAAGGACACATTTGGTGCAAGATCCAGTCATGAAGTAGTGATAACATAAACACTGCATCAGGTCCATGGCCAGACACCTAAACTACTGTGTGCAGAACCCATCTCATCATAGCTAACGCTTTACAATAAAACTGTTTGTAGGTGCATTAAGTTCTTCATTCAACTCATTCACTATGAGTTTATCAAGCAAGTGTGTTTATGGCAGGAGATACTACAGATATGGACACACATATTTTCACACAGTGGTTACAGCAGAACAAGTTCAATCCTAGTGATAATAATGTTTTAGAATCAACTATGTAGTATATGGAATAGCTGCCAGAAACAGTGAACATTCCCACTCTGTTAACACTTTCTAATAGGGCCAGTAAATGATTCTGGACTCAGGTCCCCAGGTTAGAGATGTGATACTGAGTCTCCCTGGAGTGCAGAAGAGAAAATTATACTCCAAAAGATATGGGCTTTGGGCATTTAAGATAAGGCACATGGGCTTAAATTTACATTTTGGCTCTGTTTTTTTTTTTTTTACTAGTTTGTGACCTTAGCACATCTATAAAATAGATGTAAAATCATTATAGAGGGTCACTGTGAAATTAGATATAATGTATGTAAGGCATTTAGCTTAGTGCTGGCACAGAGTAGGCCCATAATAAAGGCTCGTAGTTATTGTTGTCACTTACAATGAGAGTAGAATAATATGCTCTGTGGAACAATGCTATAGGAGGGAAACGATAATGCACTGTCTCCTCACTTGATCAGTGTACATGGCCACCATGAAGAAGTTTCATGGGGTATAAGTGTGGCAGAGAGTCTGCCTACCACCGAGCATGGACAGGGTCCCAGGTTCAATTTCCATTGCTACATCTTCATCTTCATCATCATCATCATCATCACCATCACCACCATCACACAACAGACAGGATTCCGTGAAGCCATCAATTATTTGCCATCACCTCTAGGCAAGATCCATGCTTTCTTTTGAGATAGGGTATTTCTACTTGTGTTAAGCCAAGTTGGCCTTGGACTCATAATCTCCCCCCTCCCCTTTCCCACCTCAAAAATGTGCTGAGATGATTATGTACCAGCATGCCCAGTAAGTCATCTTAAAGCAATTGAGGTAGGGATGGATGGATGGATGGATAGATATATAGATATCATGAGATGGAAATTCAATCATTTCTCAATAGTTCACTCCAAGTTGGCTTGTCAGTAGATACTTCCGTATGTCTGTGTCCAGTCCATCGAATAGTATAGGCCTCTTGTGTTTACCTCAGGTGAGATGGAAAATACTGGTCACTATGTTCTACTAAGTGGCTTTATATACATAAAGACTGATATTAAATTGCCCTTTATCCTCCTTTCTTTCCATGCTGACTAATCCCAGTTTCTTTAAATTCCCTCATAGTTCTTTCCCAATCCTTTAATCACCTTTGTGGGTGAACTCTCAGCCACCTCTAGACTGAACTCCTCTACATTAATTACAAACGGCAGAACTGGGCACGATTTCCAATTATGGTTCTGAATGTCAACTGGCAAGATGATTTTTGTCACGATTCCTGCAGAATAGTACTCTAAATTAGCACCCCATGATTGTGCCTGGGTTTGCAGTACTGCAGAAGCCTCCTTAATCCAGCCAGAAAGATTTATAGCATAGAAACAGAAATGTAAACTGTCTGCCTCTTAACTCTCAGCATGCTTCTACTTCTGCAAGTAATCGGTAACTTTCATAAGAGTCTGAGAGAAAAAGAAAGAAGAAAGAAGCAGAACAGGAACTCTAAAATACGTAGCAAATATAAACACAAGGGTCAGAAGGATAGCTCAGTGTAAGAGTGCTTGCTGCTAAGCCTAATGACTTGAATTCAATATCCGGTCCCCACAAAATGGAAGGAAAGAACCAGCTTGGCTGTGACATAAGCATATGTGAATACACACGTGTACACACACACACACACACACACACACACACAAATAGGTTTGGGTTGTGTGTCCTTCACTGCTCCACTGTTGGTGCAAATAATTCAGTGGTATCTGAAATATTTACTTACTTTGCTGTCCCTACACGGTGCTTTCTGAGGTTGGCACATTTCCCCCCTAAAATTTACAGGAATGTTTCTGTGGACTGAACAACAGCATGTGTATCTCTTGAAAGCAGCACAGTTTTCTTCTGTGCCTTCTATACATGCTGCTGACACTTAAAAAAGAAAATAACTTGTACAGATCCTCTCGTTGCTTCTGTTTAAAAAAAAAAAACAGGAGCAGGAACAATGTTCTGAACCTAATAGCTAACATGAACTTAAAAATACTGAGAATGTGCTGTGCATCCTAGGTGTCCAGAAAGCTGGAAAACTATGAGCAGAGAGGCTGACGTGTACCCGAAAGGCTTTTCAGAAGAGGTAGCATGGAAGCCGGGCATGAAGGAATGGCTGGGATTCTGATTGGTGCCGAAGCTAAGGGAAGACAGGGCAAACAGAGGAACCTGAGCAGAAGTAGGCAGGGTGGCCTCACTGGAGCCAACCAACATGGTGGTGACAAGGGAATGAGAGAAACCAGACCCTGAAGAGAGGCTGTTTGTATGATAAACCTTCTAATTGTGTTCTTGAGACTCACCCAAGTCCTGCAAGAGATGGGCTAATTCAGTGCAACCTCTGGATGAGAAGACAGCTAAGTGAGCAAAGGTTGTGAGCAGGATGACGCTGCATAAAGTGAGTGGTTTAAAAGCCCATTTTTTTTTTAACCCAAGGTTTAAAATCCAAGAGTGGTCTAGAAACTCAAGGAACCAGAGTCATTTGCTTTTTCTACTTTAAATGGGTTTACTCTCTGTGGGCTCATTTTTTTTTTTTTCTTCATTCTACAGCAGGATTGTTTGGTCTTGCTTGGCAAACACGAACTCCTTTGTCTATGCAGGGGTGTTTCTCAATAAGAAGAATAACAAAGAATGTGGCTGAGGTTAACTTGTCATTTTTCAGTGTGGTTTTGAGTCATGGGTGATATCAACACAGCCATAGAAATCAGCTTTGTCAGTTAAGCCTGCTCCCAGCCAGGAAGCAGCAGAGCATGAAACATAAACCATGGGAACAATGGTGAGGCTCGGGGGTTTGCTGTTCTCCAGAGGCAATGACAGTATGGAAAATGGTCAACTGGGAATCCAAAGAGTATTCTCAGCAAGGCCAAGACAATGTCTTAGATTAGGATTTTTCTTTCTTTTTCTAATTTCTTTTTCCATTTAAAAAAAAAAAATGACAAAAGAGAAAGTGGTTGAGAAATGCCTGAGAAGGGTTTGGTGGAATTGAGTGTATGGCTTAACTAGCTGAAAAGAATTACGCATTATGGCAGAGTCTTCAATCTATACTCCCTCAACAATGACACATGCCTGCCAGCTTAGATTATGTAACAGTCTCACTAATTAACCAAGGGCTGAAGGACTGGGAAGACCCCAAAGGCTGTGTGAACACTACTGCATGTGCTCATAGGCACACAAGTTTGTGAGTAGATGAGTGTCCTTTCAATTAAAAAAAAAAAAAAAAAAAAAAAGAGGCATAGGAAAAAAAAATCCCTCCTTATCACACATTTATTGAAAACATATGTATTTCAAATCAGGCCTTGGGATAGGCAGAAAGAATAAGAAATAAATTAGGGTCCCTGTATAGGAGGGGATCACAAACCAGAAAAAAAAGAGAGAGACTATAGACATATGCCCACGAGAGATTTAAAGAAGGCCCCAAAATTGTGGCCTAGAGAACTATATAAAGACTTTCCTACTAAAAGAAGATAGGGGATGTGAAATAGATCAAACTTGAGCATCTAGGAGATATTGGAACACCTGACTTGGAACTCATGAGGGGAGTCGGGCTAGATGTAGAGATCTGGGATTGGTCAGAGTATGGGCGGATATCACTCAACAGCCAAGATGGGACAAACAATTTAAGAAACATGTCTTGGGTTACCATAAGAGGCATAGAGGGGCAAAGGAAATGAAATTCCACCCCTCGCAGAGATTTATATTCCAGTGTAAGAAAGAAAAATATTTCTTTCTTGATGCCAATGGTACTTTACATAATTACTCTACAAAATTTCCTAAAGTGAGACACAAAAATACTATTGTACACTTCATATACATATGCAGTACATTTTCTGAAGTTTAAAGTTTTTAATGATTTTTAGATTTATTTATTTTTATTTTGTGTATTCAGTCTGTAAAAGCCAGAAGAGAGTGTTGGATCCCTGGAACTGGTGTTACAGATGGTCGTGAGCTGCCATGTGGGTGCTGGGAATCAAACCTGGATCCTATACAAGAACAGCCAGGGTCTTAACTGCTGAGCCATCTCTCAGCCCCATAAATTTTGTCGTTAAGTTTAGCATTATTAACTAGAAGTTTTGCCTCTACTCTTAGGGCGTTAGGCTCTTTGAAATCAGGTGACGCTATAGCATTTACCTATATTTTGAAAATGTATAGGCTTTACATAGACTCATAACTGACAGTTGGTATTGTTATCTCATTTTACAGATGCTACGGTTTGGGGGAACAACTGCTCCAGCAGTGACAAGTCGTAAGCTCACATCTGCCTCCCATTCCAGAAGTAAACCCGTGCACAGAAAAGTCCTCCAACTGTTTCTACATGTCCCCTCCTCAGGTACAGAAAACATCTCCCCCCTCACCAGAGACAGTGGGGAAACTTTCTAATAAGTTGGCCTCTTCCACCAATCACCTCCATCCAACACCCTCCTCCCTAGACCACCATAGGAAGCCAGTTTTCATGCTGTGAGAAGTCCTCTCCTCTAAGACAACGGAGTGTTTGTGTAAATTTTTGAGAATGAAAACTTTCAACTGAAAAGAAGTTGTTCTATACCTAACATAATAGATATATTGACTAAAAATAAAGTAAGTAGCATTCTATGCAAGTTTTCTGGGGTTAGTTTCCTTAGTTTGTAAAGCAGAATCTTGAGCACTGAGATTGGGGATTCAAAAGGATCTTATCGAATTGCAGAAAAACAAAATTAAAGGGTTAAATAAGATTTAAAAGCTTAGAGTTAAAAGTGTATTCCTGGAGGGGAAATAATGTAAATTATTTTACACTAAAGGAACTCTGAATTTAACAAATAAGAAAGAATTAAAAAAAAATGTGGGATGGGCATATGATAAAATAGCATTTAAGTGTGTGTGTGTGTGGGGGGGAGAATGAAATTCTAATTCACGGTATACCAAGGATAAACCTTAAAAACATTATTCTAAAGGAAAGAAGCCAAACACCAAGGGTGGTCCATTGAATATGGCTCCATTTACAAGAAATGTCCAAAATCCAAAAACTTGAAAATAGACAAGTGGCTTCTAGAAACCAGAGAAGAAACTGAGAGTGATTGCTAATGGGCATTGGCTTTCTTTTTCATGGTGACAAAATGTTCTGGAATCAGATGCTGATGATAGCGTGCATGCTAGTCAATGTACTGAAAAAGAAGTGTAGGTTGTAGTATGTGAATTGGATCTCGGTTAACAATTACAGTCTAATAATTCAAACAGGGTGATGGGACTTAAAAAGAGGAGTACTTAGAAAACAAGCAATCTTTTTATTGTTATTAAAAAAAATAGTTCAGACCCTGTAGATTGTAGCACCACATCCTGGAATCCAGATGTTTTAAAGGAGAGCCGTAAGGCTGATTAGACTTGAAAAATAGGATTTATATAGAAGACTAAAGTACTGGAAATGATTCTATCTGAAAATCCCCAAGTCAAAGGGGATGGTTTTGAAAGTTTCCTCAAGTATATGAGGACTGTTAAGCAGAAAACACCAAGCAGCTGCTTTCCATCTTCTCCAAAGACAGAGCAGAGAGGGGAGGGCTCAAAAGTAATTCAGTGTATTTAGGCTGACACAGGAAGGGTGTCCTCATTCTGAGGATGTAACAAAGGGCTTCAAAACGAGGATGTGGAGACTGGAGGACTTTTCAAGAATATATTTTCAAGGGCTATACAGATGGCTCGGTGGCTAAGAGCACTTGTCGCTCCTGTGAAGGACCTTGGTTTGACTCCCAGCACCCGTATGATGGCTCACAAACACCTACAACTCCACTTCCAGGGGATCCAACAGATAGACATATTGTGCACATACATGCACTTGGACAAAACAATCATACTTATAATGTAGAAGTTAAAAAGCTTGAAAAGAAACCTAAAAAGAACAGTTTGAAAGCCATATTTGTGAGCTTTCCACTAACTGTACCCCTCTCAAGGATAATTTTCTTTTCTTTTAAAACTCATGTGCCCCAGTGGGATAAGCAGGATGGCATGCTATGGACTAGGTAAAAGTCCAATCAGGTTGCTGTTCAATTTAATTTTTTTTTTTTTTTTACAGTTTTCTGTTGTTTTTCTTTACAAAACCTCCTCGCAAGAGAAGACATTGCTAATTCTCTCTTGCCTCAGAAGAACTGAGAGGTTCTCATGCCAGGATGTAGGAGCTGGGTCAAACACACATACACACTAGAAGTTTTCAGCTAGGGAGAAGTTTCACTTTCTTTATTAATACTTTTCTTAGTCTGTAGTTTCCCATAAGTCTGAAAGTATCTCTGACGGCCAGCTTCCCTCTCTACCTATCCAGTCTATCACCGCAGAGATGTTCCCACTGCCCTGTCAACACCTTGGTACCGCTCCTCTTGTCACTATCCATTACAGTGTCTATTTCTGATTGCATAATCCATCATGTCTAATTATGCCAGATTCGGGTAAAGTATCTATACATCCCAAAGCTAACACGCCCTACTGAAAAAAATCCCATAGACTCACACTCTGAGGTTACATGCAAACTAGGTTAGTATCTCTTTCTAAATGAATTGTACTATTTATAGAATTATGGATATTTTCATGACTCTCAACTCTGTTTATCATCCTGGAAGAAAGACAAGTTAGGTGTTTAGCGCATGCCTGTACCTACCAATTGGAAGCATAAAGCAGGAAGACTACTGTAAATTCAAGGCTAACCTGGGCTACAATGTGTCATAGTTGCACACTTGAAACTCTGATTCTTTTTTTTTTTTTTTTTTTCTGTTTGTTTTGTTTCTTTGTTTGCTTCTTTGTTTTCAAGGCAGGGTTTCTATGTATAGCCTTGGCTGTCCTGGACTCGCTTTGTAGACCAGGCTGGCCTTGACTCATAGAGATCTGCCTGCCTCTGCCTCCCTGAGTGCCGGTGATACCTTGATTTTTGTCTTGGTTAAATAGACATTAACACAGCATCAATTGCTCTCACCTTCAGACAATAAAAAAAATCAAGTTGTCACTCAAAGAACACCAGGCTTCCCAACAAGCGAATACCTCTCCAGTGTCTGTCCTCAGAGGATCACTAATATCATGGACAGTTACATAAACTGTCATGAAACACACTGCCAACTGCCTGTGAGACTATAGACAATTCTCCTCGCAGAGGCCTGTACCTCTGGCGCTCACTTGCAAATGGGTGGGGATGGGGGCAACACCAAAAGTCTTTACAGTTCAGAACAGAACAAGTCTTAAATTTGTGCTTTGCTCCATCACCTAGGTCAGCAACTCACATCAGGTCTCCTCTTTCTGCTCCATTTTTAGCAGCGGACTTTCCATGGGCTCCAATTTCTTTTCAGTGTTGTATGGCATGTCTTGTGAATATCGTGAAGCTGGTTTAATTGCATAGCATTAAAGTTATATCCCCATAGGTCTATAATCTAAAGACCTGTTACAGATAAGGAATAGCTTCAAGCTGTTAACGACTGTGCATCCCTAAGAAACCCAACAAGGCCCTTTTGCTTTAAGACTACCTTTAAGTGAGAAGGTCTTTACTAAAATATACAAAGTCATCCTTTCAACATCAAGTAGACACTTCAGACCCTAGACCCACAGTCTGCCGCAACTTCCTCATCTTTAGAACAATACTGTTTTCCATGAACGCCCAGCTCCACCCTGCAGTCTTTTCTCATCCCTCCACAAAGACTCTGAAAGTGAGACATATCAGATTTAAAGTCCCAAGGCCACATTGTGAATACCACACTAGGCAGGCACTGCGTTTCCACAAAAGGTCCCTGATTCTCAGTGGGTTAAGAGCCAAGCCCAACCAGACAGATGGAAGCAGAACCCACTTCCTGTTAGCACAAATCCCCATCACATGGCACTGAAGGACTTGTTTTCAAAAGAGGGCCACAATCTACTTTCTTTCAAAAGAGTCAGAAGCTGCATATTAACCAGCTGTCCTGATGCTGGATTGTGCTAAGTTCCCGAGATCTACGCATGACTAACACCAAGATCCAGGGAAGGACTTTTTCCTTAAGCAGGGAGGGATTAAGAATGGCAGCAGTAAGGAAGAGGGATGGGTCTATGTACACATGTACACCTGCGCGTGTGCACACACACACAAGCACACCCACACATGCACATATGCACACACAAAGACAGAGCAACATTTGGGACAATTGAAAGAGATGGCAGCCTTACCTACTTTAAGAGCTTAAGGGCATTTCATTTAGAAAATGCCTTTTAGACTGCAAGGTACACTTACTTCACTTGAGGGAAGCCATCAAATTTCTCTCAGACTGCTAACAATACCTATGGTCTAGAGCTGTCTTGAGGGTTGAGGCAAATACATGCAAAGCATCCACAGTACAGTCCATTCCCAACAAATACCCAACGCGTTTGCAATGTGCTCAGTCCAGCAAGCCTGTGGGTCAAATGTTAGCGTCAGCTTACACGGAGATAAGTTGTCAGTGGGTGTTAGTCATGCGTTTAAGGTCCATCTTCTAGAAAGAGGCTGAGCTGGAACTGTCAGTTGCTTGGCTGACACCAAAGGTTAGTCCAAGCTCTTTCCACTGAACTTCACGGACACTCTTACTTCTCTCTCTCCTGCAGTTGAGAACTAATTTTCCCCAGTGTGTTGAGAAGCATACTGCCTCCACCAAAGCACCTACACAAAGTCACATGTGAATCTTCATCGTACAAGAACCATATGCACTCTGAGGAGGGGAGATGGTGAAGAACCAGAATATAACAAGAACACAGGCACTTGACCCCACGAGAGAAGAGAGTGTCTGTGGTTCTGAGGAACTATTTCTCTGTGTTATGAGGAGAACTTTGGCTCATCCCTCACTTGATGCTTCTTTGTGTTGAAGGAAAAAAAACAAAAAACTTGTTAATGAAGACCAGTGAAGCAGCTACGTAGTGTGGAGGCACGCTAGGCAGTGTAAAGACACAGGCACCAGAACTGCCAACGCCTGTGGGCAGACAGTGGCCTCGGAAAGGTTCATGGCCTTTCTGGTGTGGAACTCAGAATCAGAAAGCTCTGGGTCTGATTCTGGTCTTTCTAGTTACCACCCTATGATGTTGGGCCATGGTACATTTTGAGTGACAGCTCCCTTGTGGCCAAATGACAGTACCTGAAGGATTTGATGTCCTATCGAAGGTGGTGAACGCATTACACCGGTAGTGTTACAACTGCAGCCCCAGCATTCTCTGAGACCAGCGCTTTCTGTATCTGAAAGAGGGGCAATTATACTTGCTTCTGCTGCTTCACTTTCCAAACAGTACCATTTCTGGCAAGTGATGTGTATGGATCAGCACTTTATAAAATGTGACGTACACGTAAGAACACAAGGTTACTGCAATGACAACTTGGGAATGAGCTGCCTAGTCCTGCTTGTCATTAGAAGTAACAGGGATATATTAATCTTCTTGAAAAAAAATTTGAATAACAATCAATTCCTAATGGTCTTCATATCCAGCCGAAGAAAACAAACTGTTCTATACATTCTTGGAACCCGAGTTCTTTTTTCCATAACATAATTGGAACCCCTAAGGATTCATTTAGTTCACGGTCTAAAGAAAAAACAACAAAGCTGAACCAAAGGGAAGGCTGGTTTCACGGACTGTCCACAAGAGTGGGGAATTGGCCCTACAGCACAATGTAATAAAGAGGCTTACAAATTGAGTCCTCCGGGAAGGATACAACTATATTTGTTGCGTGTGGGTACCAGAGCAGAGGAGTTTGCCTCTTCTGTTCTTTGAGTGCCACATGAATAAATTTGTAGACTGTCATTCCCTTTAACTCAAAACACTGGTGAACAAACAGCTGGAGCAAAGCCACTTGAGAACATGACAAGCCACAGCACTCAGAACACTGCCAATCTCCCATTGCTCAAACAAGTCCTTTAACTACAGACCTAACTGGGAGTTTTTGTTGTTTACTAGTGCTTGACTTAACAGAACCCAAGAGAGTTGGGGTGGGGAGAGATGGTAGAGATCATTCAGATGCCCCCTCCCACATGGTGGGGGTCTTTTTTACCCCATTATGTACAAAGGCCTAACATTTCAAGGATGAGATTACTCTGGGCTTGGTGACAAATGCCAGAGGTAGCACAGTCCCCTGCTCTAAGGTTTCCATAAAGGGCTTCCTCCTGGAGCAATACCACAGTCTTTCCAGTCTCCTCTAAGGAGCCCAAGAAGGATTCTTTCTTTACGCTTATTTTATGTAATTTCTTTCAAAATTTCACGAATGAATGCCGTACTTACATTACCTCCACCCATCCCCTTCCTCTCCAATTCCACCCTCCCGGTCTCTCTCAAATTCATGACTCTCTAGTTATTACGGTTACATTTCTGTGGCGCTGAGGACTTGGCTTCCTTCTCTCTTACACAGAGCAGAGTCATCAGATGACTTCTGGCTTCAGAATGCATAATTCTCTGCAAGACAAGGCCTGCTGCGACCCGGCTGCCTGCTCAACTCCAGGAACATTTAACCAGGGACGAGAAGAAGAAGAAAAGCAAGGGCCATGCCCCCAACATGGTTCTCCTGGGCCATTGCTGGCACCTTGTTCACAGTCACTCTGGTGTCTGAGTGTCTTTCTTCACAGAGAGAGTGGGGAGAAAATGAGACTTTGACCCTCTTCAACACTGGCAGCCCCCATTCCATCCCCCCCCCCTCCGCACAGCATCCTAATAAGGCACCTGAGCTCAACCCATGCTAGCTCTTACTCTTCTCAGAGTACACACGGACAGTATTGTTTCATGCTGGGTATCTATTTACTTATATTCCCAGACCTTCCCCCATTTCTTGTTATCGAGCAATGCTCCCTTGTAGTCGCCCTAGTTCTAACTCCTATCAGCCACAGGACTGAGTAAATAACTAACACCCATTTGTCTCTTTATTTTCTTCTACAGGGTATCTTCAAGGGACCCAACCATGGGGACTGAAGGCAGGAATCCTTATAGTACACTCAACATTCTGCCCAGCACACAGCAAGTGCGCGATAATGTCAGTGGCACGTGTTAGTGGCGGATCTGCCCTATAACCGGCACAGACTTAAAAAACTCTAGTCTCACTAGGTTCAGGTTCATTAGTCCCCTCTTCTGAACTCTAGTCAACCATACACTGTGAAAGCACAAAGTTAGAGCATCCATCCAAAACTTAAATGAGAAAACTGGTCAGATTCTTGAGGTTTACTACAGATGTCTTTTAAGACGGACATCAACCCATCACTTAGCTCAAGATCACCAAGACACATTTGTTCAATGAGCTCAGAAGCTATTTAATCAACCTAAACAACACAACAAGAGTATCAGCCACAATGCTCCTAGGTATCAGAATCCATGTGTTTGACTAGAAATAAGAACGCTTTGCTTTTAGGAAGCTTGGAATATTCCCAAATAATTTTCTCATGAGCAATCACTTAATGATCCTAAATTTTTCTAAATATCAGTGTTATTCCGGTTCTAGAACATGCCTTCTACTCACCTACTCTTTTCAAAGTCAGAATGATGGCTAACCTTCTTTAACATGCTGCACCTTATTGCTATAGTTTCTCATAAATATATATTCGCATTATAGCAGCTCGGTCTCTCCTCTGTGTCGTGGCTCCAAAGGAAAGACCCAGCAGTGAGCAAAGTCCAGTCTAACTTGCTGATACTCCAAGAGACACACAGGGTACCGACGTGTCCTTTATTCTACTGTGGATGACAATGATGACAGCGACGATAACAACAGTTCTGTGTCCGATTCTGATCTAAGCATTTAAAATACATTAACTAATTCTCACAGCAATACTTTGAAGCTGCTATTATATCTCCTTTATACAGAGTGGGAATAAGACTCAGCCTGCAAAAGCTGACCCTTCCAACCCCAGATCGGCTAGCTTCTAGAGCCCAAGTTTCCAACCAATCTCTAATTACAATATCTCCTTTTTAACAAAGGGCACCATATTGGCTATATAAGCCATAAAGCGAGGGGCCAGTCTATGTCCAGCAGGCACAGAAGTTCTATAACCACCCCACAGCTGACTAATCCTACACACAACCCTTCTTCCTAACAAACTTGTAAGAAACTGGTCTAGCAAAAGTCAGTCTGTTGCTCGGTGTAGGTGTCTCTCACACAGACTAGATAAACATGACAGTCTGATCTGGCTAGAGTCCTTTTCCTTTTACACATCTTTGCCTACAGAGGCAAACTGTAGACACAAGCTATCAGAATACAAAGAGTTTACAACAGAGGTGGTACTACAGCTTTGAAGCTAACACTCCTTCCCATCTTTGTGGACAGCTCTAGGGGGAAGGTGGTAAAATCAGCATGGACCTTCAGGTGCTTCAGACACTGACCACATACCTTTCTGATGTATCTGTGTATCACATGATGTCTTCATCCGGATGAGGCCTAAAGAGGACTTATGTTGCTTTTCATAAATCTACTTAACACATTTATGTATTAGTTTATTTTTCAATCAAATTCTCAAATAACCCTGATGTGTGCTCTGTGCGCTACAATATAATTAATTCTGGCCTAAAAAGTCTTTGATGTATCTAACACAGCCTATTAACACTTTAAAATTATGTTTCTTTTCTACCTTTCACCTTTTTACTACATCCAAATGGTAATTCAGCAGTGAAAGTAGAACAAATTTAAGGGTGTTTGTTTGTTTGTTTGTTTTGGTTTTCTCATTCTTATACCTTCTTGAAACATTCGTTTCAGTGGGTGAGAATGGGCCTTGTGAACAGAGAGATCTTCATGCAGAAGGACTCCAGTACTTGGACTACGGATGGAAAGAGTTGACTTTCAACCAAATCAGTGACCAGGCACTGGAGGATGAAGGCAGCAGGGGAGGAAGTCACAGAGAATGCTCTGAGCTAGTCTACTCATTCTTAGATACGTCTACCTACAAAACTTACTGTGAGCAATGCTCTAGTCTGGATATGATGTGAAGTTAGAGAAGTCAAGCAAGACAATGCAAACATCTGTGTAGAAATGCTTTTTACAGGAAACTGACACCAAGAACTGGAAACTGAAAGGGAAGAAAGATGAAGAGAAACTGCTTCGTTAGTAAAGTAGGAAATGTGAAAATGAAATGACTGTTTTAGACAGGGGATACTTCTCTGTACCCTTAGTTTTTGGTAACTCAACACAGGGAATTTTGTTGGCAGCATCCTGTCTACTCATTCTGGACCATCTCATGAGTTTCTGGCAAAGGGCTCCCGCCAAGCAATCACAAAAATGTTTCTTTGTTCCTCCAGATTGCTAAGGAGCCTTCAAATCATTCTCTCAAGCACTTCCTCTCCACCTCAAGAAGAGCTAAGTATAATTCCCCGACAGATTCCATTCAGCTCAATGAAGAGTTGGCTTTCATACTGTGCAGTTAGCTGCTGTACACAGGTTGCTAAGTTGTTGCTGAGCATAGTACACCTCTATTAGTGTGAAGCATAGGCCTCATGGCCAACATCTGGAATGACCCTAGAGAGCCTTTGCGATTGAATGGAGATGCTTAGTATATGAGCCAGCTGCAGGCCTGGGTGGAGGGTCAGGTAGCCTAAGACTGGGCTGTACCCTTTCCAGCGACAGGGTTACAGACACAATTCCGCTCCTCTGAACCTCTGGTATTTTCCTCTGAAAACTGAGAGATTTCAAGGCAGATAACATCAAAGTTGTTTTCTGTCTTCTCACATTCCACATTTAGAAGCAACTAAAATCAAACCTGTTAGTGTTTAATGAGGGCACAGAAAACAGGTTAACACAGCGGGTCTCACAGATGTGGATCCTACGAGCAAAAGCTCAGCTTTTGCTGCGGCTGAAAGGAATTAGAAGAATATTTTGGCTTCCAAAGTGGGCAAAGATTTGGTTTGGATTTCTCTCCAAAAAGACAGCATGTCTCAGCAGTGGAAACGATGCCAGTAGCCACAGGCTGGGTCATTGCCTTCAGTGAGGTCCAGCAGGCACAACACAAATTTCTTAATTGCCATCACTGTAACCTTTACTACACCTTGTTTTTCTTGGGGGCTCTCCTGGTCAGGTAATCTGGGTTACATCCAACATAATTTATAAAATTTGAGGCCTTTCCCAATATAGGTAAGATTACACGCTATTTTAGGAAACCTCTTGGGGGATGAGGAAATGTGTTGTTTTCCTTTTAAATATTATACTGCGTATCAATTCCAAACGCTAACCAAGCTTTTAAAGAAAAACATGAGTTCCCTAAAAATAGCTCGTTTACAATGCCTCACAGATTTGGGTGCTTTCTGCACAGGGCATAACTTGCTTAGCATGCAATTAGAAACAAAATAACATTTGTGGATCATATCTACAAGGTTAAGAAAAACTATATGTAAATGCCCTCCAAGGACTAAAGAAATGGTAATTAATGTAAGCTGGTTTATTATTTTAAAGTTGTACTCTTGAAAATGGATCGAATAAGTTTTAATGTCAGATTAAAAGAAAACTTTTGGTAAATCAAGCATAAAAATCTAAAGACACAACTGTGGTCTTAAGTTTTTTCTGAGTATTCTCCCCTCCTCTTTCTCCTCCTTGTCCGCTTTTTCTCCCTCTTTTTCTTCTTGTTTTTTGTTTTGTTTTGTTTTTGTTTTTATTGAGATAGGTTTCTCTGTGTGGCCTTGGCTGTCATGGAACTTCCTCTTAAACTCAGAGACCAGCCTGCCTCTGCCTCCTGAGTCCTGGGATTAAAGACATGTGCCATCACCACTGGGCAGTGGTTTTGGCTTCTTGCATTTATTCCAGTCTTGACAAATGACACTACAGAGTACCAAGTCTCTCTCTCTCTCTTTTTTTTTTTTTTTCAGATAGTCTCACTCTGCTGCCCAGGCTGACCCAGAACTCACTATGTAACTCAGGCTGGCTTCAAACTCAAGGCAGTGCTCTTGCCTCAGCCTCTTAAGTGTTAGGATTACAAGCATGAGGCACAATGATGAGGTGCTGTTTACTTTAATTAATAGCTCTATATATGTATGTGTGTTCATGTGGGTAAGTATGGACTTTCGCATGCTATAGCATACGTGAGGAGGTCAGACAAGTTCATATGTCTGTCCTTGCCGTCTACCTTGGCTTATTTGATTTTCGTTTTTGAGACAGGCTCTCACTATGTAGCCCTGGCCAGCCTGGAACTCATTGTAGACCAGGCTGGCCTTGAACTCACAGAAATCAGCCTGTCTCTCAAGCACTAGGATTAAAGTATGAGACCTACCCCACAGTTTCATCTTGTTCAAGTCAATCTTGCTGGCAGCTACACATACTAGCTGGCCTGCAAGATTCTGGGCATTCTCCTGCCTCCAGTTCCCATCTTACTACGGGAATGGTGGGATCATAGATGCATGCTACCACGTCTGTCTTTTCACGGGCTATGGGACCTGCACCCAGGCCTTCATGCTTGCATAGCAAACACCTTATTCGGAGCCACCTCACTAGCTGTAGCCACTTTTTGAACTTCAGTTTCTACATTTCTTTCTCAGGCTATTCTTTCTATTTCTTTATTCTCCTACAGTAGTTTTTAAATGCATCATAACTCAGTGGACACCCTCGGCTATTTTCTCTTGCAGTAATTTTTTCTTACATTCCTGCGTTTGGATTTGGCAGGCTCCTAACTCTGTGGGGCTGATTTTCTAATCTTCACTACTAACCTTAATCATCTCATGTCAGTTTCAAATTTTATTTTTTATTAATTTATTTCTCAACTTTTTATTTCTCTTATTATCTCAAGCTTGAAAACTGTATAAAACTGATTTTTACTGAAAAAAGCACTAAAAATTGTAAATATATTGAAACTGTAAGTTTCAGTGTGTTAGTAATGATTTCTAGAATACATATATATGCTTGTTATGTGTATATGTGTGTATATACAACATGTTTTCCAGTCCTTTCTGTATCTTGAAAGGGTTGAGAAGTACAGACACCACAATATTAATGAGCACAAGCATGTAGAGAACCTGGTAGCTAATACTATTTCTACTGAAAGAGAACTGGAGATTTTTAGAAAAATGGATGACTTGAATGCTGAGGCAAGACAAGAACAAGATATGTCTAGCATATCTTATCATGGCAAAAAGTAAAACAATACTAAAACATGATAAGGGTATTATAACACAAAACATACCAGCTACAAAAGGGGTAATATGAATATTAAAAATAACTCAATATATTACTGACCACTGAAAAGAATAGATATCTGTGAGTCTAAACTGGTAAAAGATGATGGATGGATGGATGGATGGATGGATGGATCAGTAGATAGATGGATGGGTAGGTGGATAGATGAATAAATGGATGGGTGGATGAGTGGATGGATCAGTAGATAGATGGATAGGTAGGTGTAGATATATGGATGGGTGGATGGATAGCTGAGAGGAGAAAGAGCTCTCTTGCTTATCAGGAAAAGGTACAGTACTGAATGGCAAATATGAAGAGAAAGTTTAAGTTGGAAACTATGATTTAACAGCCATTTTATTGAGCCTCAAGCACATAATACTAGATCCATTCATGTGTAGTGATGAGAAGCAGGACAGTTGTGTTATGCTTGTCAGAAAAAAAACTAGTAACTATATAGAGGCAAAATTTAACGTGTCTTGACTCCGTGGTCAAGTTTTATATAACCAATGAATGGCAGTTGAACCTTGTATACCTCCAGAAACAATAACAAGGACAAAACACCAACTAGGTGGCAAGATATAACCTGAACCAGATCATAAGGAAATATCAAATGTTCTTTTGAAGAATCTAGGGATCAAGAGAAGGCTAGCCCTCTATTCTTCAAAAGAGCCCAATTTATAAAAGTCAAAGGAGGCTACTGGAAAGTTCGAGATTAAAGGAAACTAAATGGACATGATGACAAATTATGCCAACTAACCCTAAGATGTAATCCCAGACTGGATCTATGTTGGAAGTAAAAAGTGTTATGGCAGACACTAGTGTATTCTTGGGTTAGTTGGTAAAACTACAATACAAATGGTAGATAAAAATATTTTATCAAATTTATTGATGTAAATAATTCTGCTACGGTTATAAAAGAACATATTCTTTCCTGGGAATAGACACTGAAACATTTGGGGGATACAAGGAATCAAAATGCAAGTAAGTTATCTTCAAGCAGCTCAGAACAATGTCATATATATGGTGTGTGTGTGTATACAGATATATGACAAAAGGACTAATTAATAAGGTAAATGTGATGAAATGTTAGCAATAGGTGGACACAGGTAAAGGAATATATGCTTTGTGCATTGTTTTTTATGAATTTTATACTTCTAGATAAAAAAAAATTATAAAGGAACCAAATAAAACCCTCACAACACGTACAAATACACACAAACAGCCAAAGACAACAGCCTAGAATGAAGCTTATTCCCAGCCCCTGTTGTTTCTACCTTTTATTGGATTTAGTCTCTCAAGAAAAAGAACAATTCAAAAAGAGAGAGAGAGAGATTATAAATATAGTATATTTATAATCAAATTCTTTTCGTCCACTCAGTCTTTATTTTCCCGTTTTTCATTTTAACAAGCAGCACAAGTGAAACAGTTACTAGGCTGTTCTTCAGGCTTCCTTAGGACCAAGATGACTAATTTTTTTTTAGAAAAAAAAGAAAGATAAATTAAATCACATCTTTCATGACTTGCTATATACACAACACACACCGCACGATTCTTTGCTTTCAAGTTGTTTTCAGTGCCTTTCTCGCACGGCTTCCTGTCAATCCCCTGTCTCACCTCACCGTCCATCAAATCAGAAGTAGGCAAACTATCTCCAGGGCCTTTCTAGCAGGGTTCCTCATAACACAGTCACACACAGTCATACCCTCGCCGGAGTCTCCACTCGTATCGCTCCTTGTCTGTCACTGATGCAGACTGATATGTTTTCCCTCACTGACAAGCAGGTGGCACGTACCTGTGTCTCCCTGTGTTTGAAAGACAAGAGCAAGGCCTGGACAAGGTGATGCAATAGACTAACTCTGAGTTCCTTGGGTGAGTTGTGAGAGAGGTAGTCCCTGGGAAACGCCTCGTGATTCTTACTCTGTCTCTGAGGCTCTAAATGTGTGGTAAAAACACACGGTGAGTGCAGCTGTCTAAGCTAAACCCGAATGGGCTTAAGATAAATTATATGCATGAGTCTGATTTCGAGTTTTCTCTTGAGAGGCATCACTAATATTGAAGAACTGATGCTTTCATTGTTTTCTGATGAATATATTTAGTCATAGAACTATCTAAAAAGCATATGATTTCAAAAATAGATGCAAATGATTTATCAATAAGATTAGTAAATCATATATGGATATGAACTTTAAAGGCATATATAGGTTTGGAGAAAAGATTTTTCTCAATAATTTCAATACAAAGCCCCTATGACTAAGGTATGAAAACTCAGAATAAGACACAGGATTGACTGGACTCCAGGAGCAAAATCTTAGTGACAGCAATAGAATCTATAGACCTACCTAGAAGATGCCTTCATACAGTTGCAGAGGAAACCACTGCTATAATTCACTGAGCTCCTTCAAGTAGAATCTGTGCATACCTTAAGTTATGGCAAGTTATCATAATATGTCTCGGAGGCCCATGAAAGGAAAGGTCTCTGGTGATACTAAGTTAGAGAATACATTTGCAAAATTTCATTCATCATCCCTTTTCTTCGTCTACTTGAGAGTTTTCCAGAGTAAAATTTTGTGTACAACGTTACATTTTTAAAACACATTTTTTTGACGAGTAACACTCTAAATAAAAAGCACTGACATATCACTGTTTGTTATGTGACAGGGTAGAGGGACTTCGTTAGAGTCTGGTCTGTAATTACATTTCATGGGAGGGTGCAGCTCCCATCCTCCACATCCGCCAGGTTAGAGGGACTTGGTTAGTATCAGGTAATCCCTGAATCGAAACCACCATTTGACAGTTGTGATCTCAGGCTCATCCATGCTGGACACTGAGATTGGTTTCCCGGACAAGGAAGGTCCCACAAAAGAAATGATTAAAAACAACGAGAGGATGATTACTCCTTTGTGATTCTTGCCTGAGAGGCTGAAATCTGAGCAGACTGCATCTCAGTTTCCCTAATGAATTCCTCTGCTGCTGTCATGCGGTTAATTCTCCACATTTCCTACTACCCTGATTATTAAAAAAAGGAAAAGAAGCCAGCCAATATAAACATCAAAGGGCACTCCTACTTATGCAGCCTTCAGATATTCTCCAGAGATGGATTGTGGGAACAAAAGATTTGGGGCTTTGTGGGGAGAATGTTTTCCTCTGGAGACAATGGGCCAAGTCTACCAGACAATGCAACTCTGCACTTGGTGGTATACAGTTAGGCAGCAAGGGTTTGCCCAGAGAGGCCAGAGATGCTCCCTGGCTTAAGCAAGACCCCATCACAGCTTTTATTAAGTGGCAATGTGGAGGATGGGAGCGGCACCTTCCCCAAACAGAGTCTAGTTGCAGACATCCTCCATAAGGCCTCAGACCAAAGAAGAAGGAGGGGTGGGTT